TTCCATACATATCGATCAATGCACTGGCTACAAACAAGTCAAAAGACTGCCCACCCTTAATGACCAAAGAATGCAGCTGCCGGCCATTCTCAAGGCTTGCTATCTCAGAGCAAGCCCTCAAACAGCTAGCTAGAGTGAACTCGTTGGGCTCAACACCTTCCCTCCGCATCTGATTGAAGCAGCAAGCAGCTTTCTCTCCCTGATCAGCCTGTGAATAACTTGAAATGAGAACAGTCCAAGCAAAGATGTCTTTCTCTTTCAATATGCCAAAATCCACTTCTACATCTTCCAAGGCCCCACACTTGGCATACATGTCAATCAAAGCGGTGCCTATGTAACAATCATACTCAAAGTTTTCTTTAATTACATGTGCATGCACTTGTTTCCCGAACTTGACATTTAACAAGCTGGAACAAGACCTCAAAATGCTGATAAATGTGTAAATGTTGGGCCTATAACCTTCAGTAAGCATGTGCTTGAAAAGCTTAGGTCCTTGATTAGAGATTTCATCATCATGAAATCCTGATAAGAGCGCATTCCATGAAACTACATCCCAGTGAGTCATTGCATTAAAGACACGATATCCCTCATAAATTGCTTGAAATTTCATGTACATTGCAATCAATGCATTACTGACTAAATCTTCAGATTCATAAGCAAATTTGTAAGCACAGGCATGGATGCTTTGGCAATAACTCAAGTCACCAAGATCAGTGGCAGCACTAATGAGACTGGCAAGAGTAAACTGATTAGGCATCACACCAGAATGCCTCATCAAGTGAAATAGCTCCACTGCTTCTTTTCTCTGACCTTGTTGATCGAGGATACTAATGACAGAACTCCATGCTACAACATCAGGATTGGTCATCCTCTTAAACACACTGAGTGCATCGTTTGCCAGCCCACATTTTGAGTACATATTAACAAGGCTACAACATATGAAATCATCATGTTCACCTCCTGTCTTAATCGCCATTGAGTGGACAGCCTGGCCAGCTCTAAAATCACCTGAGATAGCCAAACTTTTTAAAACAATAGACAATGTATAATTACTCAACCTCGTCTCTGATTCCGTCATACTGCATAACAGTCTCAAAACTGCCTCTCCATCACCCACTTGGGCATAACCATTAAGCAAGGAATTCCACAACACAGCATTTTGTTCTGGAATCATAACGAAAACATTTTCTGCATATTCCATCTCTCCGCACTTAGCATAAAGATCAACTAGAGTAGAACCAACGTACACATCTGAAAGTGCACCAATTTTAATCACATCTGCATGCAATTGTTTGCCAGACTCCAAATCTAAACAAATTGAACAACCTTTCAATACTGTTGCCAAAGTGAACTCATTAGGCCTCACATTCTCCCTCCTCATCTCACAAAACAATTCAAAACTTTCAATCACATGCCCTAGAGCTACAAATCCTGATATCAAAGCAGTCCATGACACCACATCCTTTATAGGCATTTGATCAAGCACATGACGCGAAAAATCCAAAGCTCCGCACTTTGCATAAAAATTAATTAAAGAAACCCATAAGTGTGAATCAGGCTCTGTCCCATTCCTAATCATCTGCCCATGAATCGCTCTACCCTCACCCAAACACAAGTCTGCCGCACAATTTCGCAGCATTTCTGAATACCACTTAAGCTCTCCTTTCCCATTCACCTTTTCAAGACCGGCCCTCGGGTTTGCATTCTTCCATTCTCGATCGACTAAAATCTCTGATTTAATAGCATACAAATATCTGGGTGGCAAACTTTCTAACCGAAAATTCGAGCTTTTCACACTAATAAAATCTCCACCAGCTTGTTCACTTGTTTTCAATACAGCAACACAATGCGACGACTGGAATCGGAGAGAATAAAGTACAGGTTTCTTGCCTGGGAATAATGTCGAACGGCTAATGGGTACTGTACAAAATGTTGACAACACACCATGAAGCATTAAAGGAGGTGGACTGCGCATTTGTGAAGATGCAAAATTGTATCCCACAAGTAAAAATCAGAGCTTTGGCAAAGAAAACGATGTAGAGACTGAATCTGCAAACTGCGCCACGCAAAAGCCTTTGCGAGAATTTGTCTGGAGTGGTGACAAGGGAGCTGCTGTGAAACAGCAAGATTCAGATGGCTGCGAAATAATAAGAGCAAGTTCAGTTGATGACAATTGCATAGATCTCCCTGTATTTTCAAAAAATTTAAAATTCTCTTAAGGTAAATATTTATTTTTCATTGTACTAATCTACATTATTTTGAAATTGTTATTTTATTAAAATAAAATTTCTTTATTTCATATTTTTTTATTTAGATGAGATCGATTTCATTAAAAAAAATGTCATTGTAAATATTGCTAAAATTAAAAAGTTGGAAAAAATGTGATGTTCTTTTAAAAAATATGATTATCAAATAATTAGCAAGTTAACATAGATAAATGTTTTAGAATAATTTAATAGACTTAATTCATATAACTATTATTTGGGAAAAATAATATTTTGAATAATGATTTTTAGGAGAATGTGTGGTTAAAAAATAGGAAAAAAATTAGATTTACGTGCAAAGTATTTTATTGTATGAATGTGTGGTTAAAAATGAGTATTTAGAAAAAGAGTTTTTAAATAATGGTTGTCAAACAAGAGCAAAATATTCTATATGGATAATTACAGTAGTAGTCACAAACCTTTTTATTTTTTGCAGGCTTTACGTCAACCCACACTTTGTGCCAAAAGCGGTCCCAAACCTTTGGAAAATTCGCACTTGGAGTCCAAAATGACTGAAAATGTGAAATCCTTCGTTAGTTGACCTGAAAAATGGAAAAACTTCGACTAATTTAAACGGACATTTTCGACACTCCCATATTCAATTTTTTGCCCTGTGTATTTGTGCTCTCTTCCAGTAATTGTCATAAAAATTTCAGCATAGAGATAGAGATGAATGTACGTAGATGTGATTACCATGTGCAGATGAAGACCTCATTTTTCAAGAATATAAATTGCAACATGATTTTATGTAGAGAATGCAGTGGCAACAATTATATTAAGTGTACAGAATACAAACTGCAGTGGCAACAATCAAAAGGAGCTTCTTCAAGAGAATCAATAGTGAAAATAGTATATAACTGTCCCGAATTCATAGAAATATTGAGCTAACAAAAAAATCAATTCCAAATTCATCCATGTAATTAAATTGAAAACACAATCATTTTTCAAACTAAATATCCATCCAGAAATGCAGAAAAAAGGTTGTTCTAGTTCATTTGGTTCGTAGAAGCTTTCTTTGATATGATTTACACAGTTAATCAATTGTAATTCTTTCATTCTCGATTGATTAAAACCACTGATTAATAGCATACAAATTTCTGGGTGGCAAACTTTCTAACCGAAAATTCTGGCTTTTCACACTAATAAAATCTCCACCAGCTTGCTCACATGTTTTCAATGCAGCAGCACAATGCGACGACTGGAATCGGAGAGAATAAAGTACAGGTTTCTTGCCTGGGAATAACGTCGAACGGGTAATGGGTACTCAAAATGTGGACAACACACCATGAAGCATTAAAGGAGGTGGGCTGAGCATTTGTGAAGATCAAAATTGCATCCCATAAGTAAAAATCAGAGCTTTAGCGAAGAAAAGGAGGCAGAGATTGAGTCTGAAAATTCGCCACGCAAAAGCCTTTGAGAGAATTTGTTTGGAGTGGTGACAATGGAGCTGCTGTGAAAGAGCAAGCTTCAGATGGCTGCGGAATAATAAAGAGCAAATTCAATTCATGACAATTGCATAGACCTCCCTGTATTTTCAAAAATTTTAAAAATCTCGTAAGGTAAATATTTATTTTTCATTGTACTAATCTACATTATTTTGAAATTGTTATTTTATTAAAATAAAATAAATATTTTTCTTTATTTCATATTTTTTATTTAGATGAGATCGATTTCGTTAAATAAATGTCATTGTAAATATTGTTAAAATTAAAAAGTTAGAAAATGTGATGTTCTTTTAACAAATATGATTGTCAAATAATTAGCGCAAGTTAACATAGATAAATGCTTTAGAATAATTTAATAGACCTAATTTATGTTATTAAGCCTATGTTTAACAATCATTATTTGGGAAAACAATATTTGAAATAGTAATTTTTAAGAGTACTGGTCAAAGTTGAACGTGCAGAGCACGTTATTCAAAAATAATTTATAAGTGTTGTAAAAACAATATTTGATATGATAGGCCTTGATTTCGATCTACTGCATCATAAACAAAACATGGAAGAAAATAAAATTTAGGATATAAATTTAAGAGAATAAAGTTTTACTCTCAAAACTGAACTTCTATAATTCAAACTTTTTGTAATGATAAAATACTACAAATGAGCAATTTTTTAATGCTACATTTGGTACATAAGAATTAATTGTTAATAAATGAATTTAAACACTCATTAAAATTCCTAAATGCATGTATAGAAATAAATTCATCAATAATTACTCTAAATTCATGTAGATCAAGATTCATCAAGTCTAAATTAATATGAATGTTAATTAACTGAGAATTAATAACATGAAATTCATATATGACAAAGGATTCTATAGTATTTATTACATATTGGAAAAAGAAAAGTAAAATATTATTGAAATAATTGAATTGTAGTAGGGTTGGAATCGTTCAAAAAATGATTCACATGATATAATATTTAATATATTATAGACGTGTAGTTAAAAAATAGGGAAAATTTTTAAATTTACGTGCAGAATATTTTATTTTGTGAATGTGTGGTTGAAAGTGAATATGTTTGTCAAACAGGAGCTAAATATTCTATATGGATAATTGAAAAAGCAATCCCAAACCTTTTTGTTTTTCGCGGGATTTAGCTCAACCTACACATTGTGCCAATCCAAACATTTGTTTTAAAAGGTTTGGCTAGCCAAACCTTTGTAACAATCTCAACCTGCACGTTATGATTCCAAAACAAAGTGCTATGTTGTGGAATTCCTTGCTTAATGGTTATGCCCAAGCGGGCGATGGAGAGGCAATTTTTGAGACTGTCTTGTAGAATGGCGGAATCAGAGCCGAGGTTGAGTAACTATACATTTTCTACTATTTTAAACGATTTGGCTATCTCAGGTGATCTTAGAGCTGGCCAGATGCTCAATGGCCACGAAGACGAGGTGAACATGATGATTTCATATGCTGTAGCTTTGTTAATATGTACTCAAATGTGGGCTGGCAAACAATCGGTGTATTTAAAAGAATGACCAATCTTGATATTGTAGTATGGAGTACTGCCATTAGTATCCTCGATCTGCAAGGTCAGAGAAAAGAAGCAGTGGAGCTATTTCACTTGATGAGGTATTCTGGTGTGAGGCCTAATTAGTTTACTCTTGCCAATCTCATTAGTGATGCCCCTGATCTTGGTGACTTGAGTTATTGCCAAAGCATCCATGCCTGTTCTTACAAATTTGGTTACGAATCTGAAGATTTAGTCAGTAATGCATTGATTGCAATGTACATCAAATTTCAAGCAATTTATGAGGGATGTCGTGTGTTTAATGCAATGACTCGTTGGGATGTAGTTTCGTGGAATGCCCTCTTATCAGGATTTCATGATGATGAAATCTCTAATCAAGGACCTAAGCTTTTCAAGCACATGCTTGCTGAAGGTATTAGGCCCAACATGCACACATTTATTAGCATTTTGAGGTCTTGTTCTAGCCTCTTAAATGTTAAATGCATGCACATGTAATTAAAGAAAACTTTGAGTATGATGGCAACATGGGCACCACTTTGATTGACACGTATGCCAAGTACGGGGCCTTGGAATATGAAGAAGTGTTTTTGGCAGATCGAATGAGAAAGACATCTTTGCTTGGACAGTTATCATTTCAAGTTATTCACAGGCTGATCAAGGAGAGAGAGCTGCTTGCTGCTTCAATCAGATGCGAAGGGAAAGGTGTTGAGCCCAACGAGTTCACTCTAGCTAACTGTTTGAGGGCTTGCTCTGAGATAACAAGCCTTGAGAATGGCCGGCAGCTGCATTCTTTGGTCATTAAGGGTGGGCAGTCTTTTGACTTTTTGTAGCCAGTGCATTAATCCATATGTCTGGAAAATATGGGTGCATTGATCATGCAGAGACATTATTTTATGACATGAAATCAGGTGATAATGTAACGGGTTAGTGGGTTAACCGGTGACTCGGTGGTTCAATCAACGGGTAAATTCATGTCAAAAATATTATTTAAGATAAGTCAGCATTTTTTCAATTAAGAAGAGATGGAGTGCATTCAGGTTGAGATCTCGGACATGAATTCTTATTCCTTCGTCTTGTACCATGGTGAGTCTCGAACATACTAAAATCTTCATTTTCACTCTGTGTCACTTCTATTTTTCATTGCCATTCCCATCATTTCCATCACTATTTGGTGTACTACTATCACCAGTGGAGTAACAAGATGGTGAAATAACCTTATTGTAAATGATTTATTGTTTTTAATGAATAGGTTGTCAACAAAATTGGTCCAAATTGACCCCATTTTTCAAGAATATAAATTGCAGCATGATTTTATGAGATTTTTTTTTTTTTATCTTCGTTTTCCTTTTATGTAGAGAATGCAATGCAGTGGCAACAATTAAATTAAATGTACAGAATACAAACTGCAGTGGCAACAATCAAAAAGGAGCTTCTTCAAGAGAACCAATAGTGAAAATAGTATATAATTTAATCATTCACAGAAATATTGAGCTAACAAAAAAATCGATTCCAAATTCAGCCATGTAATTGAATTGAAAACACAATCATTGTGCATGATAAGAAACAAAGATACAATTTATAACCATAGGAGGGAATTGTGATGAAATATGAAAACAAAACAAAAAGGTTAGCAACGCAAAAAGGTTTGAATGGCCAAATTTTGCAATTCACCAAAATAAAACTTAAATACCCGACTTACATGTTCTTCTTCTATCTAATTTGAATGGAAATATCTTGGATTCTTGGGAGATGTACAGACAGACGAAGACGGCTACGAAGAAGGAAGGGTTTTCACCTTAGCAGATCCGGGTTTCCTGGGTTTTTCTACAAATCAATGGCCAGTCCGGTTCAGTTAAAATTGAGCCGGCAAGTTTCTAAAAATCGGACGGGTTGTTAGTGGATTAAGTGCATGGGCGAATCCAGCCCGGGGGTCCAGCAAGGGCGGCCGACGATCATTGACCGTTGACCGCAACGGTAGAAATGACGATATTGATTATTAATTTTTAATTAAATAATATTAAAAATTGTCCGATTTACACTAAAACGTATTAATGATATAATATGAAAATATAATCCAATACAATACGACTCAGAATCAAAACGAAAAATAAGTAATACAATTTCACTTCGAAATTGTACGCTCAGATAATTAGAANAAATATAATCCAATACAACCCAAAATAAAAAAGAAAAATAAGTAATACAACTTCACTTCATAACTGTACGCTCAGATAATTGGAATCTCCGTGATCTCATATTTTGTGGTAAAAGTGTACACAAATTTCACTTGCCACTTGTAGTTTCAATTTCAAATTTTCAACACCAATTTCTTCCAAATCACAAATTTATAAATTCCGCAATGAACAAATTCCCAAAATTTTCAATTTGACAAATTCCCCAGTTAACTAATTTACAATTTCCCTAATTCAAAAATTCA